CCCATGCGAGCCTATCGGGGTTCGCCTCGCTTAGGGCCGATAGTGTGTCGGCTGTGATTCCCTCAACAATATCTAAGAGAGGAGGCAGAACGCAGTGTAGATTGCCACAACGACCCAGTGAAAAACTTGGTCAGATCCGACGCCGGCAGGACGTAATAATAGGACGTCAAGATGTTCAGGACGAAGGCCATAGTAAATGTGAGTGGTTATAGTGAGTGCTCATTGTGTATTGGAACTAGTAGTCAGGGAGCGCCAGGGGAGGGGCCCGTCTTGTGGGCGAGGAGCGACGGCGTATCGAGGGGGAAAGCGGCAGGGGCCTCGGGATGACCCGCTTGGGATAGGCACCCTTTCGTCGAGAGAAGGGATCCGAATTCCCGATCGTCGCACCGGGAACAGGACCTGGAGGGCGGTCTCGGGGAGGAAGAATACCCTTCCCCCAACGTGGTTCCGCGACACCCCGCAACCTCCTTAGCGAAAGTGATTGCTTCAACAATCGACTAGATCGATATCAGGAAATAGCGTGCGAAATCATGCTTGTACCTACAACCTAATCGCTGATACTCGTCATTGTGTACCACCAGTGTTTCTCATTTTTACTTAGTACTCACCACTCGCAAGTGGGTTCGGTCCCACTAGACTCCAACTAACACAATGGCCGACACGGACACAGCCGAAATTCTACGGGAATGCCGCGATCAGATCGAATCCGATGTGGAAGCTATTACTCAAACGGGTCGCGATATTGTCGAATCCGCAACACAAGTCTTAAGGGATCTCCAAACTGCGCATTCTACTGACAGTGTTACTGACCGAGTGTTGAGTGTTGTATCGGATACGGTAAGTTGAAGGAAAATTATGAGTATAAAACTAGGGTGGATATACGGAGGTGCAAAACTAGGGCCAATGTTATGCTCACAATCGAATAGGTACAGTAGGTGGGCAATGTGCGCAGTGACTGTAATGGGGTGCTCATTGTTTGCGATCGTACGTGCGATTAGGCGATTAGTCTACAATGAAAAATATACGTATAGATTAGGCGATTAGGCGTGGAAGACTACATACGTCTTGTTTTGCTTCGCCCATGGAGCGTTGTTGCGAGTAGGCGAGTAGGCGAGTAGGCGAATAGGCGAGTAGGCGACAGGCGATTAGGCGATCGCTCAATGGGCGAGCAACAAATCAATACGTATCCTTCCCTTATCGCCTACTCGCCTATCGCGCCTAATCGCACGTACGATCGCCAACTATGAACACTCCATTTCGTGCCACGTTCTCTTCATTTTGCTGCAGATTAGATTCGATATAACCCAACATTTCTTCGCACTGTTTTGATTATCCCTCCACTGTGTGCAAGTGTATCACCTGTATCACCTGTCGTCCCGTTGATCATCGAATTGCTCGAGCGGGCGCCAGCAACGTCTCCATTCGTCCCTGTCGCGTGCAAGAGTTGTCCAGTGGACCCTCCTCGCTCGAGGGACACGATGTCCTCATTCCTTTCGTTCAGAGCTTTCGTGAAGAAGTCTGACCATCGGGCCGGCGGTCGTCCAGGTGTTCGTTTGACGTCCCGAGGGATCCAGTCGGTAACCGCTCTGGTCGTATAACTAACTTTTTGCCTTCGACCCAATGAATTAATGGGGTGTTAGTAGATGATGGCTTCTGTGATGACATCTTCAGAATTGGTCGTTGTGGCGATTAAGTAATTGCCGCGATCAGACAATCCATTCTATTTTGTAAAGCGCTAAACTTTGTGCGTCGGGTGTAATTGCTGTATGTTGTTGAGAAGGAAGCTCATGGGATAAACAAACCGCTAACAGAATCATGTAGCTCACAGGACTTTAGCTATTAGTGTTTTGCAATGGCATGATTGTGATAGCATCCCCAACGGCTATATAAACACGCACTTAGCACACTTTCGGTCATTCGACAAGGTGATGCTGTGGTAGCCGGCGAGCAGAGGGGAACGAGGGGAGAGTAAGGAGAGGAGGGAGAAGGGAAAGCTTACGCAAGGTAGGGAGGTTCCGGCGCTTGCCGGGGGACCAATCTGGTATCCATATATGTGAAAACATAATACAGATTTAGCGAATTAATGCGTTTCAGGAGATTAGGTGAGAAGAAATACATATTATTGATTGGTTCTCGCCCATCGTGAGCGCGAGTAGGCGAGTAAGCGATCAAGCGATCGCCTCAACGTATCTGGGAGCAAACGAATAGACACCTATCCTTTTCTTACCACCTACTCGACTAGTGGTACGATCGATGCGTATACATTTCTTTTTGAATCGCACAATCGCAACCCTGAACGCTGTAATAGAAGTCATCATCTAGTTTTCACACAAGTCACGTAACCATAAATTAATGTACAGCAAGACGTTGAAACGCCGAAACACTTCATGGTTCAAATCTACGCATGGTCGTCGGTTTGCGCTCTCGGAGCCATGGTAGGGATGTATCTGGGCCACACGATATTGGTACCATTTATTGAATCGGTTGCGGAAAGCAGCACTGCAATGCTACTTGGGTGCATCGTTTTGGCCGTCTTTGGAATCCGCTGTTAATTCGGCAGGTGCTTTTTTTTCTTGTGATTTAGCCCTACCATTCTATACTTGAGATCTGAACCGCAGAGGTGATCAGGACGGTTTAAGGGATCTGCTATTCCTCGTCATCTGGCATCAATGCCGTGACGTCGCAAGAGTCACTGTTTTTGTCTGATGTCCTGTTCAAAGCATCTTCTGTCTCTGCAGCATTGCTTTTAGTAAGATCCTTCTATATGACGTCTCTTTACCTCCTTGGGACTCCTCGTGATCGCTTGCCCTGGCATCGCAGTCCATCATTGTTTTTAATGGATAATCCTGTGGCATCTACAGCAAATGACCCTGCTCTGGCTAACGCTAACTAACAGAGACATTCTGCACTACCCAAAAAGAAACCTCGTTTCTAACCATGTCGCATCTCATTTCAGCTAACTTGAGCTTCTTGTTTCTGCCTAAAGTGCTTCAGGGAGCGACGAGGAGCTCCCTCACAATGACAATTCACAAATAGAGGGGGCCTCTTGAAGAGCATGGGATATGAGATGGTCCAATCACTTCCTCAATACTAACGTTGCGAAAAAAGGAAAAACGAGTGGCTCTGTAAACAAGTACATTTTCCTCATGCTAAACAAAGAACGCGGACTGCTTAAACACCGCCGAGATAAGCGTACACTGCCTATGCCGCTGAGCTGTATGACAGTCTCATTACCGCAGAGTTGGGAAAGCAGCAGCGCACTTGATAGATGTCCGTGTGTTATAAGCTATGAGCAAAAGCGATGCTGGTAATCACTTATCGTGCAGACTTCTACCGTGGCGGCAGCCGGACGTTTCGGGCGACTCGCTACCCCACTCAATGGTCCTGCACGATTGGTCAACTTGAAGCTGCGGTACCTGATTCCGATCTCCCGGAACACTTCGGGTTCATGTTTGAAAGGTCAACAACGGATGCCATCTTCATCGCAAGGCAAGTGATGGAGAAGCAGTAACATATAGTGCTATCTAGCCTCTCATCTGAGAAAGCGTTTAACCCGTCTAAACTCCGCGAATCTCTTTGAGGGGTGCTTAAGAAAACACCGGAAAGAAGACAAAACACTGTTCGTACTCGGCAATGGCGTAAACGAAGAAGTGGATATGCACGGTCGGGGTCACCAAGGATCAACTCTTGGCCCCCGTTCCCTTTCGCTTAAACTGAAGTCTCATGGAGGGACCAGTGCGAGCCATCCTCCACGCTGACGACATCGCCCTCATAGCGTACAACAGAGAGGAGCTTTGGCGGAAGGTGCCGACAAGGAGTGCTGACAGAAGGTGGGTTCTACTGAATGTCAAGAAGACCAAGTTCCTGAGCTGAAGAGGGAACAGAGCCGATCGTGGACGGCCATGGTGAGACCATCGAAAGAGTGGAGGACTTCAGATACCTCGGGAGCGATCTGGCAGCCGACGGAAGTGTGGATCAGGCAGTAAAGGCACGAATCAACGCGGCATGGATGAAATGGAGGGAGTCCACTGGAATCCTCTGCGATCGAAGGTGCTCCAGAACACTCAAAGGGAATTTGTACCGAACAGTGGTAAGGTCTGCTCTAAGGTCAGCAAGAACCACGAAATTCGCTGAAATGAGGATGCTGAGGTTGTGCAAGGCAAGCGTGCGGCCCGAATCACATTCTTCTTGATCACGTTTCTCCACCTCTTCTTTGGGGCCTGCGAGGAACCCCAAAGAAGTGGTGGAGAAACGTGATTAAGGATCTGAGTGAATTTATGGCTATGGTGGAAGATGCCCTAGACAGAGCAGAGTGGCGACGGCTGAAAAAGGCAGCAGACTCTGCGTTTCGCGCTAGAGAGAAGGAGAAGTTTCTGCCCGTCACTGGCTGCCGATGAGCAACTGGGCCTTACCGTGGTCCGGCACCTTCCCTTCAGCCTTCTGGAGCACCGTCGATCGTTGAGGATGCCACTGAATCCCCTCCATTCTACCAGTGCCGCGTTTATCCGGCCCCTGTTGAGTTAAAGGATGGTGTCTTGTAAAAGGAAGAGGAAGGTGCACAGAGCTGAGAGGGTAGTAAAGTTCGCTAACTAGCTATCAAATGTGGTGAACCAAATGAAATAAAATATTTTTCCCCATTGACGAGGAATAAGGAGCGTGGAAACATGGACATGACCCTCTTGAAACCGCCAGCCTCGCCACACTACCTGCAAAACTTGCGCCACTCTCGGACTTGAACCCTGGATGATAGGACTCATAGCCGGGTTTTTGCCAGTGCACCAGGGATCACTCGACCACAGCACTGGATGGAACGTAATCATTTAGCCACTGGCGATCCGCCATGGTGGATGTGGTGATCATCCCTCACTTTGCCTGCAAAACATGCGTCGCACATGGGTTTGAACCTTTGGTGCAAAGTCTCCATAAGCGGCATCGCTACCACTGCACTAGGGAGCCCTTATTGTCGACGGGGCAAGGGTTGTTAGAAAAAAGGGATTGGCTCACCTAGGTTGCGAAATTTCGAAATTCCCGCAATAGTCATCCCGTGCGCGATCTTAACGCCAACGTAGACCGCAGGCGCCACACCGCTGACCTATCTATGCAAGACGCTTTCCTTTAACATTTCCAAAACATGCCGTCTGCTTTTATAACACAGACAAGTCTCAATGACGAATTTTGAATGTGGATAGATCTTAAAAAGCCCTCCGTCGCAAGACTTCTAGAAATGGCCACATTTAGAGTGACAGCAGCCTGTGTCTCCACCCCTCGCGCACTATTTCTGGTTTCTCTGCCGCCAACGTTGGTAGGTTTTGAATGGTCCAATCCTCTTACAGCACCTACTGGGATTACCCTCATTTCCGATCGACTATTCTAACGGGAATCCTAGGAGGGGATCCCTAGGTCCTCTACGCATGCTCTAGGAAAGTTTGTTTGGGAGCCTTCACCAAGTTACCATGAGCTCTTGCTGACATGGTAATTAGTAGATGAGGTTAGATTTCTACCGTTCCTGGTTTTGATGACTCCAACCATGACGTCTAAATTCTTTGTTGAGTCGTGTGGGATGCGTATTGCTGCCTTAGCCCCATCATATGTAATCTTTACCAGGAGTATCAGGTGTTCCGGCGTCCCGTTCTGACAGCCCCCTCTAGAGTACTGGTAGGGGTAGGCACCTTCTGCAGATGAAAGCCTGTGTACCTGGGTCAGCGCTTCTCTCGATACTTCTCCTTTACTTGCCTGGCGATGAAGATGGCATCTGTTGTATCTTTCGGGCATGAACCCGAACTGTTCCTGGGAGATCGGGACCAGCTCCCGCAGCTTCGAGTCGACCAGTCGCTCGTACAACTTCATGGTATGCGCAGTCAACTTGATCCCGCGGTAGTTGGAGCAGTCCATCGCGTCACCCTTCTGCTTGAAGATGGGGACGATAGTACTTGTTCTCCAGGCATCCGGCATCATTCCTCAGTTATATTGCTCAGGAAGTGGTCGAGCCGTCTCTTCAAGAGCCTTGCATTTTTAAACCGAACTCCATCCGGACCTACCGCCTTCATTTTTCCTAATGCTCACTGAAGTTCATTTTTCTCTCTTCTTCTACAATGGAACCAGCCGTCACCTGCATTTGTGGTGTCCCTTGTGAGGGAGCTCCTCGTTCAGAAACACAGCACAAACACATCTTTCTCTCTTTTCACCTGAACTTGCTTCTCAGAATGATACCATCTACAACCTCTTTGCTTGCCAAGGAATGCGAACTTTCATCATAATGTCCGATTCCTTCTAGAAAGCAGTTTTATGCTTGCTCTCCGTTTCCATAGCTTGGACGCAATAACCGATAACTGATTGATGGCCATCACTTAAAGGAATCTTCCACGGACCATGGACCAGTGGGCGGGACCGGAAGTTTTTGTGACGAAATGCATGGTAGGTACGGATCCACGTGTCGAACGCACGAACGTGAACAGGATTCACTTCAAACCTTCCCATGAACGTGGATCCGTACCTACCATGCATTTCGTCGCAAAACCACTTCCGGTCCCGCCCCATGTTCCGTGGAAGATTCCTTTAATTTCATTTTTCTCCAAGAGAGCTTCGGTGCGACGCCCCTAGCCAACTCCCGCTCCTTATTCGTGCGAACTCCTTCCACTATTTGCTCTCCAGTGCTGTTTTACCCGCTGCTCTTGCAGTACATTCTTGAATTTTTCCTGGACCCCTCACACAGGACAGAAGTGGACTTCAAAAGCATGAAGAATTGAGGATCCTCAAGGACTCTGAGTCGAATATTCTTACTTTTGCTTTTCTACACTCCAGCTACTGACCATGAGAATTTCATGCTCCACGAATTTGTTCTTTGAGAGCAGATGATCGATCCACCAACAGTGCGAACCCTTCAACCGATATGCACACCTCTCTATATGACACATGCCCAAGCCACGCGCTCTGGACGATACTCCCGGTAGAATGTTATTATGAAAGCTAACTCGTGCATAATAATTTTCAGTATGATGAAGATATTCGCTATATGGATCCCTTGAACGATGCTGATGTTCGTTTTGTATCACTTGTCTTCTCAGTTGCTCAAAGTATGTTCGTCGGACGAGCCATTCGAAGTGTATACCTGTCTGCTCAGCCTCCTTTATTCATAACCCCAGCAGCAATCGCTGTTTGCTATGCGGTAGGCACTTATTTCTGAACTCCTCCCATCAAAAAGTGAAATACTTTTTCTGTAAGGATTGAGGTCATACATTCTTGAAAACCGTACATTGGCTCTCGGATTAACTGTTTAGTGAGGTTGCAAAAGAACTGAAGGAGGATAAGTGTGAAGAACTTAACAGAAGAGATGTAGCAGATTAAAGTGTTGGAATTTTGCGGAAAAACATTCAAAAATTCATGGAAACTGGAAATTCGTCTGAGAATGCTTCAAGCACTACCACTTCTTCTGGAAAATCCCTTCAGGAGATTTTGTCTCACTTATGAAATTGGCTTGCCCATGAGAGACGGGAACTTCATAGCGACCTTCACAAATGTGTTCCAAAATAGATTGCTTTTGTACTAATTGGAGCTGAAATCCATTCAGAGTATCCGTTTCACCGTCAATTGATGCCGGCTTGGAGCCCTTAATACGCAAAATATGCGTGCTCAGGAAAATATTCGGCATGACAGCCATTGACCAACCCATTTCAAGGATGCAATCCCTCTGTACTGGGGTCTATAATAGTAGAATCCGCCAAAAGTTTACAGTTGAAGCATTCTCATCAACCGGCAAATGCCTGATAAATCACGCCTTCGCTATTCACAGCCAGCGTCTATTCCAAGGTTAAGTGCTTTTGCTGTCGCTTTGAAAAATGGAGACAATTTCATCACCACTAATCTGTTGAGAGTGATCATCAGCGAAGAATGCCTTCTACTCTCAAGGAATCGTTTTAAAGTTATAGGAAAACGAAATTAGTGGAAGCGGTGGAAGGAGAATGCATCATCAAATGTTGCAAACGTAATTTCCGTCATGTCAACGCTCATGGAGAGAAAAGAGAATGCAATTATTCATTAAAGAATCCATTGGAAGTATCCTCCTTATGCTAGACTTTTCCGTTCATACAACTCTATTGCCGTTGAGTGCGGGGACATCATACCTGTCCTGGTGTCCGACCGAAGCCGCGAGCGTGGGAAGGAGCTGGAGTTTCCTTTTCACACTCATCTCGCTGAGCACTTCAACAGTTATCAGAGGCTAGGGTAGCCTGGAGACGCATGATAAGAATCAAAAAACTGCTTTTCTTACAAGAAAGCACAGCATGAATTTATGGCAACTACCATTCCTTCATGTAGGCTTGTGTATAAATCGTTCGCTAAATAAACGAATTGACTATATGCTGAGAATTTTCGGCGAATATCCAACCACTTGAGCAGGAAAAATCCAGGGATAACGGTTAGATGTCAACACCTCCAATCCTTGCGCTCGCGGACTAGGCATCTCGACATTGTATGGGTGGACTCTGCTCAAATTGCTCTTATGCAGCCTGGTGTTCCTTTTGCCCAGATTCAGCTTCCTGAATACTTTCTCAGGCACAACTCTTTCTCAACTCTAAGAACGCAGGATCGAAATATTGAAAGAGGTACATGTGTCGCAGGGTAAAACGTACCACCAAAATTGTTCACAGCCGCGTTGCAGTTATGCGGTTGGGGAGACGAAGAACGTGCACTCAATGGGGGAAGGATCAGTGAACTGCTACGAGTATTCGGGAAGAGAGACGAAGACAACATGCTCAACAACATCACTCCAGAAATAATTCGCTACAGATAAGCACCATGAGAAGCGTTCGACTCGATTCCAGACCAAGTCAACGATCCCGGTGAGGTTGAAACGGATACTCGTTACCCGAAGTGTGCTTGCCTGTCCCTTTCAGCCCCTTCGCACATATCTGCTGCATAGTTTCTAAAATGTATAGTCAACATGGCTCCGAGAATTTATTGTGATAGGCTTCTGAAAAGTTCCGGTTTTTTCTACGAGTACATTTTTGAGTCCCACTATGTTTTTACACGCTCAGAACAACGTATAATTTGGGACAGAACAAGACCGAATTGTTTTCAGAGTATGCCGCGAGCTGCTGGCAATAATCGAATCGCTTTGTTGAGTTGTTCGATGAGCGCTGCCCTGGTGGCGAATTTTTTGTTCGGTTCAATACTTAATATTCTCACAACTTCATTCGTAGCACTGACCTTTTGTTACATATTCGCAAGTGGTGTCGTAATGCAGGTTATATTTGGAAATGTCAATAAAAAAGTAAGTGTTTTTAGAGATTAGAGATACGAATGTACTAGAAAGTGAAAGGCTTCCTGAGTCTGAGCCCAAGGGTTTTGGAGTCAATTTCGGGATGCGACGCACATTCGACTTCAAGTCGGAACCATAGTGACATGCGATTGAAAACTTCTATAAACTTGTCAAGGACACATTGCTAGTCATATCAGCATCCACCTTTTACATGAGATTGCCCCCAAATAGCAGAAGTTGGAGAGATGCAAGGCTGAAACATCTTGCTGTGTCGGGATTTTTTTGAGTTTCACTTGCAAGTGCACTGTTTACACGGGAATGCTTCTTTAAAGTAAGGGGCTTTAGTGAAAAGATTTTGGGTAGTCTCATTCATTGAAGCTAAGGAATCCTTACTGTCAGAGGGGGATCATGAGCAAAAACTCTACTATAAGCCAGAACGAGAAGAAAAAACCTCTGTTTTATAGTCGGCTATTCATATCTATCAACATGGGCTTATATCAGTTCTAATCACCGTAAAAGGATGCTTCTTTCTAACATTTGGATCTTATGCGTAAGTGTTGTTTAACTTTGTGTTGTTAGAAGTACGATAAGGCGATCTTCAACTCCGACCTCGCTAAGCCCTAAATCTCTTTAGGGTTGTGTGCGAAGCATGTAATGATATCACAGCAACGTGCTTGGCATTCCAGAGGGCTGTGGTATTCAGCGAACCCGTCTCAGTGGCCATAATCGGCACTGACTCAGAAATGGGCAGTGGGTAATTGGAGGTCCGGATGATAGTCGAGTAGTCTAAGGTGCAGTAAAGAAGACAGTTGCTCATGTTGACTCAATCATAGACCATAGTCGTCACCCCTATAGTTGCGTTAGCCTTCGAGATTCATTTTGAGATGTACAGGGTGAGAAATCGCAGAAAAGATTTGCTCATGGTTCACGCCAACAGACTTTGCTTGAGTCAGCTCAGGTCCCACCGTCGATGGAGACCCTGCAGCAACGCTCTTGAGATGTCCCCCCCCCTGAATAACCTTTGTTCACAGCTTCCATACCGTCTTCGGAATACGAATCATCCATCTTCAGCGTCAAGCTCAAAGGCTTCTTACCTTACCCCATTCTCGTGACAGATTTTTCTGATGTAGCTTGTGTGAAAGGTACTATGAGTGGTTTCATTGTGTCGAATATGGTTTCAAATTTCTAACTGGAAGTTTGAGGTTAAAACTGACAAAAAGTCAGTGTTTAAGTGTGAAGATAGAGTGGCCGTTTTTCGCTCTCCTGTGAATTCAATATTCACCGAATGTCGCAGTGTTTTCTGACGCAGTTTGATTTTCTCGTGTTTATACCATGCATGTTTTTCAGGTACACATGAAAATCGT